AGCCATAATTCATGGATTATCCAGTCTTACAACTTATCAATTGAAAACTGTATACATATGTCAGTTTTTGACAAGAATTGCAGCAGGAAAATCCCTTGGTAAATATGTTTTTATCTTATAGTAGAAGTATTTTGATTTATGTCTAAATATAAGAGAATGAGAAGAAACAGATGGGAGCTATCTTCCCCTTTTTATTTAAGTTTACATACAGGTATACAGCATATAAACACATACACATAAACACATATATTTTCACGTAAGTATATCTAAAGCAAGTAAAAGTATATTCTCTGTCTTCTTAACACAGTGGTTTTCAAACTTTAGCCTGCTTCAGAATTGCTTATAGTACTTTTTAAAAAACATAAGAGTGCTGAGTCCTTCTGCCCCTCATGAGTTTCAGATTCTGTAGGATGGGTATGGAGCCTTGGAATTTACATTTCTAATAAGTTCCCAGATAATTTTGGTGTTGCAGTGGAAGAATTATGCCTTATCGATTCCTGGGGATTTCACTTTAAATTTTATACACAATAACTTTGTAATGATGCCTGTCATACATACTGTTTTTACTGGCAACTATGATATTTGAAACCTTTCACAAACTTGATGTTAGTACTTGTTTATTTTAAGGAAACGTGGTTTATATTTAATTTCCTTTGAAGTTCAATTAAGATTGGAATAGGGAGGTTTAGTTCAGTTTTATCAATAATGACTATTTACAACATGGTCATTTAAATGACTGTTTTGTGCAAATAATTACATACTTATGTTGGGTTTTTACCACTTATAAAAATACTTTCTCTTCCATTCTGGGTGGTGGGCAGTACTTACATGCACTGCTTACTTAAACATGTATTACATAAAATCACAGAGGATTACCACATGAATCCAGCTCTTGCTCATGTATCCTGCTTTGTTTGGCAACTGAGGTTAGATCTGGAGTTGATGCTGAAGCACAAGTGGAAGAACTAGAGGTAGAGTAGATGTGGAAGAGAAAGGATGAAGATAGGACCTATTACTGWGGAAAACAAACTGGACACAATTGGAAATTTTCAGACCACAAGTTAACATTGCTATTCAGGGTTGTTTGGAAAATTAAATGTGAGAAAATATACTAAAGTGTCCAGAAGTTCTTTACATATAGCATTTGTTCAATATATCTTAGTTTCTTCTCAGAAACCTCCCAGCAAAAAAGGAAGGGAGATCCAGATATTATGTGTGACACAGAGCTGGGGATATAGCTCAGTTGATAGAGTGCTTGCCTCACATGCACAAGGCCGCCCTGGGTTCAATCCCTAGCACCACCAAAAAAAAAAAAAAAAGTAGTAGAGTGCCTCTGGATCCCCAGTACCCCCCCCCCCAAAAAAAGGAAAAAAAATTTAGCATTATTTAGAAAATAAGCTATAGTTGCTGTCTTGATATCTTCATGCTGATCTTCCTAAACTTGGTCCTCACCCAGGCCTCTTAAGTTAGTAAATATCAGCACATTTATCCATTAATTTTTTTWAAAAAATATTTATTTTTAGTTGTAGTTGGACACAATACCTTTTTTTTTTTTTTTAAAGAGAGTGAGAGTGAGAAAGAGAATTTTTTAATATTTATTTTTTAGTTATCGGCGGACACAACATCTTTGTTTGTATGTGGTGCTGAGGATGGAAGCCAGGCCACACRCATGCCAGGCGAGCGAGCTACCGCTTGAGCCACATCCCCAGCCTTTATCCATTAATTAAAACCTGAGAGGCCTTCCTCTGTTGATTTTTCATTCTGCATATCTAATCCATTAGTCAAGTCTTGTTCTATTTTCAAAATAAGTTCCAAATTGGACAACTGCTTGCCTTTTCCATTATTCTGATCTTAGGTAGGTGACTCTTCCTTCTCCTTTTTTGGTACTGAGGATTGAACCCAGGGGTGCTTTTCCAGTGAGCTATATCTTCAACCCTTTTTTATTCTGAGATAGGATTTCATCAAATTGCCAAGATTGGCCTCAAATTTGTAATCTTCCTGCCTCAGCCTCCTATATTCCTGGGATTAAGGCATATATAACTACATCCAGCCAAAAGAAATTCATTATTGTAGTAAAGAAAAGTTTCAGTTGTTTTATAATTTTATCAGAATTTTTTCAGTTTTAAAATCTTAGCAAATTAACTTAGAAAATCACTTCCCTAAATTGGTGTGTGTGAGAACAGTGCCTGGCACATAATATATACTCATATAAATATATAATATATACTCAAATATTTACAAGCAATGCATCTTTAAAAAGCTGACAAAGTAAGGTTCTACTTAAGTCTTCTAAATTACTTATTTTTCTTCTGTTTTTTTTTTAAAGACGCACAGTTTGAAAATGATGAGCGAATTACACCCTTGGAATCAGCCCTGATGATTTGGGCTTCAATTGAAAAAGAACATGACAAACTTCATGAAGAAATAGAGAATTTAATTAAAATTCAGGTATGAATATTACTTTGTACTTAAAGTTGTTATTGTGAAAGAAAATGAAAGCATATGATATCTAAAATAAGCAATTGGTTTAGGGTTTAGCTTAGTGGTAGAGCATGTGCTTATTACTAGCATATATATATAGAAATTGGATAGGATACCCAGAATAAAATTTAGAATCTTTTAGAAATTTTGACCTTTGTTTTGTAGTCTTGATATACACACCAGCACTGGAACTTAAAGATTATCAAGCAGTCTTCAAAATTGAGGAGTTGTACCCTCCCAATTTCTATTTAAGGAGTATTTTTTTTTAAGTAGGCAATTTTAATTTTTTTTTTTTTTTTTTTTTGGTGGGGTTTTTGTGCTGAAGATTGAACATAGGGCCTCATATATGCTAGTAATAAGCACATGCTCTACCACTAAGCTAAACCCCAAACCAGTATTTTTGATTAAGAATAGATTATGGATTTTTGCAAGCAAGAGTATATAAAATTTTAAACATGTTGAGAATTTTCATAGACCATTTAAGAGTCAGAAGCCAAAAGTCATTCAGAGATATAATTGGTAAAATATGTTTTGCTAGCATTGAAGCCAATAGTTAAATAAACTTTTCCTCATTCTTATAAAATTAAAGTTGTTTTTTTTTAACATGGTGAAGGTAGAGAATTTAAGTGGTTTTTCCCATTCCCAGGAATTAGTGTGATGACAGTCAAGTAGAATTAGGACATGAAAAGATTGGGCAGAAAAAGGCCTAATTACTTTAAGACTTGAACTCAAGTTGAAGAGATTTTTCATGTTATTCCAGACTTTAGGGGCTCTAGAAAAAAGCTAACCTTTGTTACTACACTGTAAGATTGAGGGGTTGACAATAAGTACATAGTAAACATTTAATATAATACTTGCCAGACATTCTAAACCCTTTCACATTTGTTTATTGTTGTTTCACATTTGTATATTGTTCTTTTCATCATTTTACATATTTATAAGGCAATAAGAAGTATCCTGCCAAGTTTATAGTTACCCAGATGATAATGGTGGTCTAATATCTTCTCACATGTTGTATCAGAAAGGCTAATGTGTAAATGATCATTCAAAAGCAGCTGACTTGCTAGGTTTCTAGTAGAGATCTTCCAGGGATCCTGACTACTAGCCAATTTTTTTATATTTTAATTATCAAAAATAACATCTACCTCCTGTCTCATTTTCCTGTAGCTCAAAATTAATATTTAGATAGGTCCTAAATGTACATCATTTAGCTTCTTATCTATTAATGCCTGCTTTACATTTGGCTTAAGTATGGGATAGAATGTTGAGTATTTGTTTTTGAATATGTGCAGGACCAATGAAAATTTTTTTTTTCATTTTTTCATACCCTATTGTAAATTGTTCTGTTATTTGTCAAATAAAACTTATTGAACTGCATAAAAGTTTTAAATGTATTTCAGATTCACTTGATAGATTTCAGTAATTAGAAAAAATTCTGGATATATAGTAGTTTAAGGTGTGTATTTGTCATTTTATCTCTAGGCTATAGCTGTTTGTATGGAAAATGGCAGTTTTAAGGAAGCAAAAGAAGTCTTTGAAAGAATATTTGACGCAAATTCTCACACGGTAATTGTCTAAACTGAAATCATAGAATTTTAGAAAAAAATTGTCATTTTCACGTTAAATCGAAGTATTGATATTTTATATTCCCCTTTTTAAAAATCAAGTCTTCTAAATCTGTTGTGTACTTTATATGTTTAATATGTCTAAATTCAAACTAGTCACATTTCAGGGAATCAGCATTTATGTGTGGCTAGTAGCTACCATATTAGGCAACCCAGGTATAAAGAATGCATTTTTTTTTTTTTTTTTAGAGAGAGAGAGAGAATTCCAATATTTATTTTTCAGTTTTCGGCAGACACAACATCTTTCTTTGTATGTGGTGCTGAGGATCGAACCCGGGCTGCACGCTGCCAGGAGAGCGCGATGCCGCTTGAGCCACATCCCCTGCCCCATAAAGAATGCATTTTAACTTGCTTATTTTTCCACAGTTATTTTTGTGATTATTAGTAATTTGCCTGTGGGTAATGTTAAAGTCAATAGAATTTTTTTTAAATATTAAAAGCATAGTATTTTTGGAGTGAATTAACATTCAAAGAAAAATGGTTTTATATGTTTTTAGTAAAATTTTTCCTGAACAGGGCATATCTCTAGAAGAGTACATGTATATAAGCAGCTGTGATTTTACAAAAGGAATATGTTTATGTGAGGAGCCTCTAGATCAAAAAACAGAACCTTAACAGCATCTTCCAGTCACTTGACGAAGTAGTTACCTTCTCGGGTATAACTACTACCCTGGCTTGTACCACCAAAGATTGGCTTTACTTTTTCTGAACTTATGATGGAATTATATAGCAAGTTTATATTTGCAAGATTGATCCATGTTGTTGCTTATAATAATAGTTTGTTCACTCTCATTGTTTCATCATATAAATATGCTATAATTTATTCATTCTACTGTTGAACATTTAAATTATTTCCAATTTTTGGTTGTAGCATACTTTTTGGGTTTTTTTTTTTTTTTTAAGTACTGGGAATTAAACCCAGGAGTGCTTTACTGCTGAGTTACATTCTCAGCAATTTTTAATTGTTAAAAAATTTTTGAGATAGGGTCTCACTAAGTTGCTTAGGGCCTCACTAAGTTGCTGAGGCTGGCCTTGAACTTGAGATCTTCCCATCTCAGCTATGGGTCACTGGGATTTCAGGCATGCACCACAGCGCTTGGAAAAAGTTCTGGAGTTTTTTATGGTGCATCCAGCATTGAAAGAATTACTACTGAAGAAAAACTTGTAATATCCTCAAGAAGATATGAAGAAAAATGTTTAGAAGCATTGCAATAATGGCCAATAGCCTAAATCCTCAACATGCTGGAAGAGTGGGTGAACAATTGATATTTTTGATCAAATAGTACTATACAACTGTGAAATAAGTAGTTCTACAAACATCAAACATTCCCATTACAACTAGGAAAAAAGTTTGATAAATTGTAAAATCATGTTGCTAAAGACATGGAAGCAATGAGAATGAGATGCGCTAAAATTCTAATCATTAGAAATTAAAAGAGACAATAAAAGTTGAAAAATCCYGTTTTAGATAAAACACTGATATATTTTTTCCTTTTTACCATCCCCTTTCCTTCTCAGTTTTTCAGTATTTGATGTTTTAGACACATAAACATTATTTAACTTTTAATTGTTCTTTGAATTATATATTATTATAAAGTGCTTGTTTCCAATTAAATAATATGATGAATTCTTTTGTATTTGGAATTTGTGTGGCATATTATTAATACATTTTTTTTCTATTTCCTTTAGCCTTTAGAAAGGAAATTGCTTATGATAATCTCTCAGAAAAATACATTCCATTCTATTTTTCAACAGTTCAGCTACAACCACATGATGAAGAAAATTAAGAGTTATGTGAATTATGTGCTTAATGAAAAATCATCAACTTTTCTAATGAAGGTATGCGTACTCAGAGAGTCTTAACAATAGACTTAAGAGAAATTCTTAAGATAAAGAATAGTTGAAATAGCCTTAAAAAAACAATCAGAATTTTGCTGGGCATGGTGGTATATGTCTGTAATACCAGCAACTCAAGAGCCTGAGGCTGGAGTTTTGGATGTTCAAGGATAGCCTCAGCAATTTAGCAGGGCCAAAGCAACATAGCAAGACCCTGTCTCTAAATAAAATATAAAAGGGGTTGAGGGGGTGTGGCTCAGTGATTAAGTAGCCCTGATTTCAATCCCCAGTACCTAAAAATTGAATCAGAATTTTGTGTAGTGGTTTTGTAGAAGAATGTGGTAAAGTGTTATAATTTATGAACCTACTAAAAGGGTTTTATAGGTGGTCTTTGTAGTATTTTTGCAACTTTTCAAAATCAGAGTTGCATCCAGGCATTATAACTTATGCCTGTAATACCAGTTGCTCTGTGAGGCAGGAGGAACACAAGTTCATGGCCAGCCTGGGAAACGTAGTGAGATCTTTAAAATAAAAAAATTTTGAAAGATCAGAATAAGAGTTGGGGGAAATTTTAAAACTGTGTTATTAAGAGGAAAACTTAAAATGAATTAAGAAAAGTGAAAGCACATATTTAGTTTTATTGCCAGTAAATTTTAAACATTTTGGGAAAAGCAAAATTGGATTGAATAGGGATTCCCAGCCCCCACCCTTCCTACCCCACTCCCCCAGTGATGGGGATCAATCAGGGCCTCACACATGCTAGCAAGCATTTTGCCTTTAAAATATTAAGTAACATTTTTAAAAAATATAAAGTAACATTTTTAAAAAAATATTAAGTAACATTTTTAAAAAATATTAAGTAACAGTTTTATTCTATTTTGGCCACAAAACATTTTAAGTTATTTATTGTGCATCCAGCATTAATTTGTTGCTGGATTAATTTGAGGGAATTTTATTTCAAAATAACGGATTTTTTTTTTTTTTTTTTTTTTTTTTTTTTTTAGTAGCTTTTGGTCTTAAAATTGCCTAGAGAGGGCTGGGGATGTGGCTCAAGCGGTAGCGTGCCCTCCTGGCATGTGTGCAGCCCGGGTTCGATCCTCAGCACCACATACAAACAAAGATGTTATGTCCGCTGAAAACTAAAAAATAAATATTAAAATTCCCTCTCTCCCTCCCTCTCTCTCTCTCTCTCTCTCCTTTAAAAAAAAAATTGCCTAGAGATCAGTATGTCTGTCAAATATATTTACAATGAAAGATCCCCTCCATAATGCTTTACCAAGCAGGTAGCTAAAATAGCTGCCAGCATTACTATAATTATTGGTGAGAGCCTTGCACAGTGGGGCATGGCCTGTAATTCCAGCAACTCAGGGGATATAGCTCAGTGGTAAAGTGCTCCAGCTCAATTCCCAGTACCCTCCCCCCACAAAAAAAAAAACCCTATTGGTGAAAATAGTAACATGATACCCTTTATTGTTCTGTGAACAGGTATTTGCCCATGATTATTGGCAAAGAATTAACAGAGTTATTTAAAAATATGTTATTTGTTTTAAATAACCTAATGTGTTCTTTCCTCTTCCTTTCTTCTACACAACCCTCTAAGGCAGCAGCAAAAGTAGTGGAAAGTGAAAAATCGAGAAAAATAACTTCTCAAGATAAACTTAATGGTAATGATATTGAAATGCAAACTGAAGTCAATTTGGATAAAGTAAAAAGGTTTGTAAAGTCACTGATTTTTTTTGTCTTATAAACGATCCTTCTTTATGTAAAAGTGATGCCATTGAGCCATTATTATTAAGAATAATAAGTTCTAAGTGTGTAATCTTACTAATGATTAACATTGGCTTTTTGAAGTACCATAGAGTTATAGCATGACATACACAGATTATATATTCTAAGCAAAAATAGGGAATGAGAAAATACTATGGCTTAAATAATGTAGGTAATTTCATTTATTATTCTCAGCAAAGATGTGCTGAGAAAACTAGATTGAGGTTGGAAAGTTGAATCATTTGTGCCCCTTAGTTCTATTCATAACCCACATACCTTCATTATGTGACTCAATTATGCACTAAGAATTATTCTAGTATTTTTAAATATTGTTCATATTCTCAAGGGTAAGCTGATAGTTCAGATGATGTTCAGCTAAAGAGCGAGTAATTTGCTCTCTCACTGAAGAGAAATAGGTTGTATTAGTCCTAAGTATTGAGAGACAGTAGTTCGATTTCGTCTGCAAAATTGGGAATTTTTAAGGGTGGGTTTTTCTTTTAGCTTTTGTTTTTTGTGGTGCCATGGATCAAAACCAGGGCCTTATACATGCTAGGCAAGTGCTTTACCACCACTGAATTACATCCCCAGTCCAAAGGTAAATTTTTACTTTTTGCATTATAAGCTAACCCTATTGAAGAAAATGCAACTCAAATCATTAAAAAGATCTTTTCTGTTAAATCTATAGTCTACCTGGCACAATGATGCACTCCATTTAATCCCAGAAACTCAGGAGGCTGAGGCTAGGGCAGGTGATGATGAGTTTGGGGCCAGCCTAGGCAACTTAGAAGACCCACAAAATAAACATTTTTATAAAGAGCTAAGAATGAGATTCATCAGTGAAGCACCCCTGGGTTGTGTTCCAATACCACAAAATAAACAAGCACTCAGTGTTTGTTCCCTTTGTGCTTCCAACCTTAATTCAAGGCCAGATAGTCTCATTCAGAGTCTCTGTGATTTCTGGATGAATATATTTGGCAACAGAAATAATATTATTTCTTCTTGGGACCACAACTTGAGTGTTTAATTATTAGAGATAGGTATTGGGATTCTAGTTGGATATATACTGCATTGGTAACACCTCAGGACTGAGGCTTAGTCTTCTTATAGTGTTTCCTTTTATTGTTCCTGCCCATCAGAGAATGGCCTATCCCTCATTGGTTCATCTCGAGGTCTTATTTATCATTTGACTTTTTTCTGTGATCCATTTTGAAAAGTAGAGATTGTATTTTTATTGGATACATTATTTCATTTTGTTTAGAAAAATCAAGGTTTAATGATTCTAAAACCCCAAACATCCTTGAAGCCAGGCCTTCCTTATTGTATGATATAATACTATCACAAAATAAAATAAAAACTTATTCCATGGTTCTTGCAGATAATGAGCACATTTCCTATATTCTTTCCTTATATAGTACCATTCACTTATTTCTGATGTTCTCCTAGACTGAATGCATGTTCTCATCTACCTTTCTGCTGCATCCTGTCCTCCACCTCATAAATCCAGGTGTCTCTTGTATTAAGAATCTCATCTCAGAAATATTTCTCTAATGTGTTCTTTCTCTTTTTTTTGTACTGGGGATTGAACTCAGGGGCACTCAACACTCAACCACTGAGTCACAATCCCAGCCCTTTTTGTACTTTATTTAGAGACAGGGTCTCACTAAGTGCTTAGCGCCTTGCTTTTTGCTGAGGCTGGCTTTGAACTTGTGATCCTCCTTCCTTGAGCTGCTGGGATTACAGGCGTGCGCCACAGTGTCCGGCCTCTCATCTCCCTTTTTTTTTTTTAATATTTATTTTTTAGTTGAAGTTGGACACAATACCTTTATTTTATTTTATTTTCATGTAGTACTGAGGATTGAACCCAGGGCCTGGCACATGTTAGGCAAGCACTCTACTGCTGAGCCACAACCCCAGCCTTCATCATTTTTATCATAGATTATTACATAGAATTCTATCACATAAATCCAACCTTGACATAATTCCCAGAATTAGCTTTCACAAAATCAGATGTTTAAATCATTTCCCAGGTTAAAAACCTTTKGGCTCGTGTTTCCTACTAAATGTGTCAGAATTTATTGGCATGGCTTACAAAGCTTTATATGGCCTTGTTTTTTGCTTTTGTTTTGTTTTGTTTTTCAGAAGTCCCCTTCTATCCATAGTTTCACTTACAGGTTGTCAACCATGATCTATAAATATTAAATGGAAAATTCCAGGAACAATTCAGAAGTCTTAAATTGTGTGTCTTTTTTGAAAAGTAGAGATTGTATTTTTATTGGATACATTATTTCATTTTGTTTAGAAATGAAATAATGAGTAGCATGATGAGATCTTGCATCTTCCTACTGCACCCTTCTCCTCTCTCCCAGGCAGGACATGAATCATCCTTTTGTCCAATGTATCCATGCTATATTCACTACCTACCCATCACTCATTTAGTAGCCATCTCAATTATCAATTGACATTTGTAATATTGCAGTATTTGTATTCAGGTAACCCTTATTTTACTTAATAATAGCCCCAAAGGGCAAAAATAATGATGTCCCAATTTAGATATCCCACAAAGAACCCATTAAGTGCTTTCTTTAAATGTCAGCTTAAATGAAAGCTATTGACCTAATAAGGAAAAGAAACACTGTATGTTGACCTTACTAAGCTTTAAAGTAAGAACAAATCTATCCATGAAATAGTGCAGGAAAAAAAAGAATGTTATACTAGTTTTGCTGTCTTACCTCAGACTATAAACGTTACTGCTACAGTGCTTGGTAGATTCTTACTTTATAAGGTTCAGTACTGTCTACTTTCAGTCATCTGCTTGGAGGCCTTGGAACTTAAAATTAACCCTGGTGGGTAAAGAAAGGGGGGATGTGCTGTGTACTGTACTTTGGCTTACAACATGTTAACCTTCAAACAAATCATATTTCTTTGCCCACAAATTTAAAGTTTGAGGTAAGACAGCAAAACTAGCATAAAGTTCTTTTTTTTTTTTTTTCTTGCACTATTTCATGGATAGATTTGTTCTTACCTTAAAGGTCGTCATGAGCAGTTTGAGGTACAATAGAAAGACTAACATGAATGTTTTGGTCTTGCTGTACAATTTGACAGCTAGAATATTTGTTTTTACATTAGAACTCAATAGTGTTGGCATATGATGTTTTTCTTGCCAAGTTGAGAGCTTTTGCTTTTTTTATTGAAAGGCTAGATGCTGTATGGCTTCTCTTTGGCACATTCAAAATGCCAAATCACTACGTTTTGTGCTTCAGGTTCATTATTAAGGAAAAAGGGTTACTTGAGGGGCTGTGGGTGTAGCTCAGTTGTGGAGTTCCTGCCTAGCATCTACAAGGCCCTGGTTTAGATCTTTAACACCACAAATAAAATAAAGCTGCATTTAAAAGAAATGGGTGTGATGATGCATACCTAAACTCCCAGCTACTTGGGAGGCTGAGGAAGGAGGATCACAAGTTTGAGACCAGCTTTGGCAACTTATCAAGACCCTGTCTCAAAAAATAAAAAGGAAYGGGGGATGTAACTCAGCAGTAGAGCTCCCCTGGGCTCAATCCCCAATAACACACACCAAAAAAGGTGGGGGTTGGCAGGGGGTATTTATATACTGCTTTGATAAGTGACTGACGGGTAAGTAGCATATATAGCATGGATATACTGGGCAATAGGCTAGTTCATGTCCCATGCAGAACAGCAGGGAGAATGTGAGATTTCAACATACTACTCAGAAAGGCATGTAATTGAAATCTTAATATACATTCAGCAGTTTTCTACTTAATATTTTTGGACTGCTGTACACCGGTAGTATCGGATAAGAGAGAACTAATGGCTCAACTATGGTATATGGTTTCAAATATTCATTGGAGACCTTGGAATATACCTTAGATGGAAAAAAGGGGGCCACTACATAATCTCATTCTTAAGTGTTATCCCCCTTTGTGCCCACATGCTTGAAACTTTCTAGAAGCACAGAACTTATCACTGATCTTAAAATGCTACCCTGTTTCCTTGCTTAGTTTCTTCCATTTTGGATTCCCTTCTTTTTATTCTCTCTAAGGCAGGCTGTTATTTGTTGTTCAAAGTCTACTTTACAGATCACCTATACAAAGTCTTGCCTAGCTCTGATCAGAGTTATTACTTCTGGGCTCCAATGGTACCAAGTCACATCTATAAAAAGCACTTACCTTAGATTGTAACTTATTTGTTTACCTGTTTGCATCTCTCATTAGTCTTTAGAATTCTTTGAAGGTTCTTTTGTGGCAGAGGCTAGGATGGAGGCTGGTTCTAGGCAGTGTGCTAAGATTGAGGCTAATTCTGGGAAATGCTTGGGATTGAACCAACCGAGTTAAATCCGTTGCTCCCCTTCTGAAGGTTCTTATTAATGTCTTGAAGCATCTTAATTGGCTTGGTAACCTTGGTTACCAAGGTTATATTAGAACTATTAGTCCACTAGTTATAGGGATTAAAATAAAAATTAGAGACAGGATAAAGATCAGTAACCAAGCAAACATCAATATTATCTTGTAAGCAGAAACAGGACAAATAAAGCATTAAACCACAAGTTTCAGAACAGCAGTCAACGGGATGCAAATGAAAYAAGCATAGCATCAGAAGTATGATTGTGAGGTCAGACAAATGTTAGAAAAATCAAATAAATGTTCTTAAAAATAAAATCAAATGAATATTCTTAACTACCTTCCTTGAAGACCCAGAAGTGCCTTGTGACATTTTATAACTTATTAGTAACTCTTATATTTGAAAGAACTGAGTGCTTTACATTTAAAATGTACACTGTTAATAAAAGATTAATTCTAAAAAGAAAAAAAAACTCTCCTTAAGACTAGATGGAATAAATGTTTTGCTATGGTAAAGCTTTTATTTGAGGCATCAACAGTTATTGGCAGGAAACAGCAGAAAATCTATAATTTGTTGCTAAAGTCTTTATATAGACCTCAGTGCTGAAGGAATTGAGATAGACTGCTTTGAAGAGGTATTAGTTTTGAGCAGGACTTGAAGGACGGTTGAGATTTTTCATGAGTAGATGGAAATGTTACCTCAGAAAAGAGGAGTAGAAGCAGTGAAGGCATGGAGAAGAAAATGGTCATGCTATATTTTGGAAGCTATTTCAACTATAACAAAGGGGTATTTATTTAAAAGTTCAATTGGAGACTTGGCAGGATCAGAAATTAAAATTGAATTATTCGAATTGTATACATTAAACACAAAGCGGTATTTTTTGTAAATTGATCATACCTCAATAAAACTTTTTTTAAAAACTTGAATTCATGGAAATAAGGGCCATGGAAAATTTTTTAAGAATGATATTATGAATATTTGATGAAAGCATTAAATGCTTAATGTTTGAAGCTTGATATATGCCTTATGCCTCTTATAAGCACATCTGGATAACCACATCTGGGCAAAAATTAACCATTTTGTAACGGACTATGTATGTCTTAATGTTACCAGGCTTTCTTTCCAAAGATATTTCTATAATTTGAAATGTGACTTTACTCTGTGGAAAGTGCTATCTTTAGGCAAAATTGCTTTTATTTACATTCTTACAAATATTTTCTTCTTTTAAAGTGTTAGTGACAAACAGTCTGCGGTAACTGAATCCTCAGAGGGTACAATATCCTTATTGAGGTGAAGTAAATTGATGTTTTTCTTCTCTGTCTTTAAAAGTCTTTGAAACAATTCATGCAGACTTAAATATGTTATTATAACTGCCATGTAAATGGTATGATTAAAAGTATCTCGGGGTTCTGCTTACCTCAACAAATCCTCAAGACCCTGATATGTCTTAAAATTTCAAATTAGAGACCTACTTCTGGAATCTGGGTTGTTTTACATTGTTTCAACAAGGCCATTATTGGAATAATATATAGGGAGTACTTGAGCTTAAATCAGGTGTTCAGTAAACTTATTTTGTCATAGAAACAAAGATGTGATACTGGGGCAGGAAGGGAATAGGGGAAACATATCTGATAAATGTCCCATATTCCAATTTAACGAAGTTACTTGAAAAACTGGTTTTGATCTAGAAATGCTGTGACAGACGATAAATATGAGAGTCTGCATGAACGGTTTCAGAATAAAGTAGTTGGGATGCATGATGAAACCATGGGAGAGGGTGGCTAATATGGTGTGGAAGAGATTGTTGAAGATGAGGATTTGAGAAGCCAGGATGTTCTATGATTTGTCCACAAACACTGAAATTATTCATAATGGCAGCACTTAGGTGTAGAAAATGGTCCATGAATGATAGGAAGTTCTTTGAGGGATAGTGAGTGGCTATAGAGAATTGATAAAAGGTGATATATATCAGGAGCTTGATTCCTCAAGAACTGAGACTTCTGGGGAAACAGGCTCCTGAACATGGTACCCATTGGTAAATGAAAACTGTATTGGGGTTATGGATGTAATTCAGTGAGGAATTGCTTGTCTAGCATGTGTGATGCTTTGAGTTTGATCCCCAGCACAGGAAACAAAAGAACAATAAAAATACTAAAATACTATGAAGATCCACCTCTAGGAACCTGTGGCTTATAGAGAGTGGAAGATTAAGCCAGTCTCCACTTGAGAAAGCCACAAAGAAGAGAAATGTCCCAAAAGAAGAGCTAGATTTTAGATAAGGCAGAGATAGAGAAACTAGTGAAGCCATTGAGAATGGCATTCCAGAGAGCACAAGAAAAACTTTTGGGAGAGAGAAAGAGGGGAAGTATCATTAACTGGAATAGAGTATTTGTAGGGATAGCAATGTAGCAGAGCCTACGTTTTAGTTAGGTGTAGATAATATAGCTGTCTAAGCTCAGGCACTCTGCTTTTTAAATCCTTTATTAAATGAGTAATACCAACTTTGCAGGGTTGTTAAAAATATATATAAATATATAAACATGTAAATATTTATATATATATATATCAATCACATCCTATAATTTCAGACAGCGTACGTCTTGCCGCAGTCTGGCTGGGCACAATTCAGGAGCCACTTGTCAAAAGAAACTAACTTTATTTTTAGAACTACAAACGCTCAGGAAAAAAAACCCTCAGAGCCCAACTGCCACCACCGGCTTCCACACCTACCTCAAACCTCACAAACCTTCCACACAAACCTCACCACCTCCCACAATCCTCCTGCTCTTGAGGCCAATTGGCTGGGTCGTGTGGGCGGAGCCAAAGAAGTCCCCCAATGAGCAGCTCCGGGGTCTGAAAGGGCAGGGAAACAGCCCAATGAGCAGCTCCGTGGAGGAGCCAATCAGCTAGATGTTGCTGGGGCCACTGTGAGCCAATCATCAGCCAGCAGCTGGAAGTTTGCTGGGGCCCCTTTGGCTGTGGCTCTCAACATCTCCCCGTCTCTGTTTAAACAACAAGCATGTGGCTTAGGGACCGTGCCTGCCTTAGGTTGTCCAGTACTACATATGGTCCTTACCTGTCTTTGGATGAGCTGACCTCAGGGTGTCAGCCTCCTGTCTTAGGTTGGTACCATTGTAATTAGATCTTACCCGTCATTGACTACCGGTCCAGTATACAGCCACACCTGTGGAGAGGTACCAGCAGGGGGG